AAAAAGGCCTCCTCTGCGATGGATAGACTAACAGAGGCAGGGACTTGGCAATTGGCATCATTTGGCGTAAAAGAGAAAGACTGGCATGCTTTTTTGGACTCGGCCGGATCACTTAGGAGGTTATAGTGTCAATCAAGCAAAGTAAGAATCAACTGAAATCATAAATTATTTCATTAAAATGTATTGAAAAATTAATAACAAAGTGCTATTTAAATTAGTTAAGACAGAAAATAGAGTCATCCCCCATTTCTTTATGCTTTTATCTTATCTAATTGCATTGCATTCAAATCTTTTGACTAACTTGATGCAATGATAGTTGCTGCGATGATTGCGCAATCAAAAAGGAACATTTCACCTTCCCAATGCACCCTCAAAAAGACTATAGAGAAAATATAATGGAAATTTCTTCTAAATGAAGGCATTCAAAGAATGTACCTAATAATTTAATGAGGGACCAACTTGGTTTGCAATAAAAAAAAAAAGTTAAAAATCCCTTAAATGCCATCAACACCTACCCAGCCATTCACTGTGCTCTTTGATTGCAATGCAAAACTTTTTCGCAAATTTTCATTCAACACCCTCCAATTGCAATTTATTTCAATTTGAATTAGCTTTATTATTTTGCCCTCCACGTTTTTGAGGTGAAATTTGCCTAATTTACCGCCCATTATGCAGTTGCTGCTACGCCTAACAGACTGAAAGTATTTGAAAATTCAATTTGAAATTAACGCGAAGATCCAAAGGTGCCGACTGCCATCTACTTCCTGCGCTCGCCGGAAGAAATTATTGCACACTAAAGCCAACAAACGAAATTAGCTGGTGCACAATCGGTGAAGGGGCAGCAGGGTCATGAATAGTGCAAGCAAAAAGTTTCACATAAAAGGACAGACTAGTTATTTTGGCAAATTTACGCCAACGGTCAGACGGCAAGCAAGGTGGCGCAAACCGGTGTTTGCTTTGTTTTACTGCGGCTAAAGTCACGTGATAATCGAGTTAACCGAACCAAAACAGCCGGATTGAGGATTTGCGGCGAGGCCTGTGTGGATGAGGTGGTATGCGGAAGTTAGCTTGTAGTAGCTCTACAAAGGATTTTTTTTTTTTGAGGGCAGCAGGATGGCAAAGCTTAACAAAAAAAATATGCAGCTTTTAGTATGCGTACTACATACATACCTATGTATGCATGCATGTATGTATGTGTTGCAAATGAGTACGATCAAAGTGAAAAGTTTTTAGTTTTGCGGGTCTGTAAGCAGCAGCGCAGGTGTATAGTCGAGATACTACGATTAAAAAAAAACAAAAAGAATGAGTATGTGTCTGTATGCGTAACTGAATGATTTGAAAAGTTCATGTAAAACTTTTTAAATTAAAATTATGAATTTTTACACTTCTCACTCAAGTGTGCTGCTTCATTCGTTCAATATGTGCTCAAGTGCACAAGTGCTGCTCAACTAATATTGAGACTGGGATTAAGGTGTTACAGTTTAAATGCATATGTGTGCAAGCACCTGTACATATGGACGTATGTAGGAGTGTAAACGTTACTTTCCATAAGCATGCAAATGAAAAGCTTTACCGTGAAGCATGCTAGTCACCTTTTTATGGAAAGTCAATGTATTGGGTCATATAAAATGTCTGTTGTTCCTTGCAAAAAATGTGTACGAATTATCATGATTTTTATTCTTTTTTTATTTTATTAAAAAGTTTGCAATTTAGGTGAACTTTATAGAGTTTTTTCTAATTTTTGCACAAAGTTTGAAATACATATTTATATGTTTTTTTTTTTAGATAATGAGCTTTTCTAAAAAATTAATAAACCTTAAACAAGCAAAATAAAAATAGTCAAAACTTTTCAAACCCTATTTATTTGTCCGACACTATAAATACTTGTTATATTTCCTGTATCTTAATACATAAAAAACGGTAAATAAATAATAACCTATCCAAAAACTGGGATGTACCAAAATTTTTCCAAATTCTATCACACAGATTTTTTTT